GCAAAAGGGGGGTGCGGAGGAAACGTCGGCCGGGGGTAAGCGGTTCGCTGGATGCGCTCGTAGTCACATCGGACGGAAAACTCCGGGAATAAGGTTTGAGAATCGGTCGGCACGGTCGCTAGGATAGAAAACTCACCCTGCCTGCGGCGAGGGCTGCCGTGGTGTCGCGGCTTAGCCAGGTGGGGAGACAAAGGGCGACTAGGGCAGAAAAATAAATTCAAGTGGGTAAGAGCTGCACAAAGAGAGAGAGAGAGAGCGTGGTGTAGTAGCTCAGCTGGGCAGTAAGCTGGGCAGAGAGTATGGCGTGGCACAGTTCGACCTGTTGCGCAAATCTACCGGACCAGTAGCTCAAGGCTGATAGGCAGGAGCTGGGTAGAGAGCATGGTGGGGCGCAGGTTGGCCAGTTACTCAAGCCCATTGGACCAGTAGGTCAATGCTGGGCGAATTGAGTAGGGAGCATGGTGCGACGCAGTTTGACCAACTCTGCTCAAGCCCATTGGCCCATTGGGACCAGTGGCTCAAGGCGTATCAGGAGTGAGCAGGAAGCAGGATGACTGCTCAAGTGGGAGCACGCTAAGAGACGAGGGGGAAGGGATCACGGTTGCTTCTTACAACTTCAAGTTCTTCGATGGAGATTTTTTAGCCAAGATGACTAAACCGAAAGGGATACACAAGAGAGCTTGCTATTGGCCACAACCCCATCCTCTCATCTTCCCTTTGCCCCTCCCAACCATCGTATTTCGGGCAACCTTTACCTATTTGAGCAGGTATCCAACAAGTCGACTTTTTGGCCGCCTTTCAGATTGGAACCAGTATTACATGTATTGCATCCATCCCATGCTGAGCCCATCTCCTCCTGCAGGATATAATTGCCTACGATATTTCAGCCTAACCAATCAACACCAGGGCAGGTGCCCAAAAAGTCGACTCTTTGGCCACCTTCCCAATTGGCCGTGCGCGACATCTATTGCAGAACCATTCCATGATACTGACCCTGCCACGACCCGACCTTCCGCGTTGAACCCTTCTGCTTCCATCTCCCGGACTTTCACCGATGACGACTGGATAAATGCCTTCTGCAGAGGCAGGATGTGTGGCAGGTTGGATGGGTCGGCAAAGGTACAAGACCTGCAGATTGGGTTTTTAACATCTCTTTCCAGCTTGCTACTAACTAGCAGCTGTTTTGCGATATTTTGGGAATTGTTTCATTGGAACTCCTCTCGCCTGTACTAGGGCATATCTTGGGCGCTTCGTAATTTAAGCTTACTCGATCTAAAGGCCCACTATAGCTCTTGAACCTGAGAACACACCAGTGTTAACCAGAAGCGCCGATGGATCCAACCATTCTATTTCAAGCACCCAACCACCACCACGACGCATACTCAAAAAGTCGACTTTTTGGGTACCTCCCAGATTTACCGTCGGACGTCATCTCTTGCATCAACCCCGTGATGCTGGGC